TTTTAAGAAATTCTATGTAAAAGAGAAATGTGGTGGCACCAAAGAGGGAGGTAACATCTAAGGTGAATTTAGGTATTATATCTTGGCTTTTTTTTTCTCTAAATAGGAGAAGTAACTATATGTTTAATAACAAATATAATCTACCAGAGAGGGGGAAATGATGATGCAAGAAATGAAAAAACAGTTTGAATGACTTTCTTGAGTAAGGAGGAAGGGGTCTAAAGAGGTCCATGTGGAAGGATTAGCTCTAGTTAGGGGCAAGAGGCCACTCACTCTCAGCAATGAAAGAGAAGGCAAACATGCTAAGAGATGCAGAGGTGAGCTAGTGGGAGTTTGTAGAAGTTCTGATTTGAACAATGGGGGAGGAGGTGCTGGAAGTTTGAAGAAAGAAACTTTATAAATCAATCATCAGAACAGGAGAGTGGGAAGACCAGAGAAATATGGTCAGTCTGGCCTATGCCAGGTTAGTATCATAGTTAAAGTCATACTACAACATGGTTGAATTTTTTTGCAGCTATTCAGCTACAGAATGGAATGGGCAGTTCAATTTAACTAAGGTTGTGGTTTATCCATAAGAGACCTACAAAACAAAAGTCAGACAAGGATAATGAGGGTATAGCAAGAGAAGCATCACAATAATTGTCCATGGTACTTAAACCATACAAAGGAAAAGTGAAGACATGAAGGGAAGGGGGGACAGTGAAAAGATGGAAGAATCTCAGTGGGGCTGAAGGATTGTTGGAATGGAGTAAGGGAGCGAGCTAATGAGACAAGAGATGGTGGTCAGAGTGGGGCATTTAAAAGTGAGATTAAGTTGGAAATGATAAGGATGGGGGTTACGATCAGAGGAGTAAATGGTCAAGAGAGGGCAAAATGCAGAATCATTGGTGGAGAGAAGGTCCAGAAAATGAGCATATTTGAAGGATCTTCTCAGAGGATACTGAAATATCTAAGAATCATGATGGTAGTAATATGGGAGAAAGTGACAGCAGGGTAATAGCTACATTTTCAAAAAGACAGTTAAAGTGACTCAGAAATCAGCAGATCACTGCAACAAGGTGTGGCACAGGATGAAATACTGCAACAAAACGAGCTTAATGCTCAAGTAGTTGGAGGAGTAGCAGGGAAGGACAAAGATACCCATGCCACCTTGAAAGACTCAATGGTAAAAAGGTTTTGAGAATGAAAACAATCACCCCTTACCAGGGATTTAGAGAAAGCTTTATCATAAAGGCAGCAGCAGGTTTTGCTTAATGCAAGAAAAGGAAGAGAACCTTCACAGAAAAGGCGGATGACATAAAAAGGAACCACAGTGGCAGGAAGCCTCTGATCTTGGTACACACACATTAGGTGGATTTTATTTTTTTCTTAAGGTGGTTTTTGCATAAATGCAAGCAAGAGGGGGGGGAGGAATAAGGAGACGGAAAGAGGAGAGGCACACAAGCATATGAAAAGGTGCTAAATACCATATATCATCAGAAACTAAAAATTCAAATAACAATGAGCTACTACTACATACCCATTAAAATGGCTAAATTCCGTAACACTGGCAACTCCAAATGCTAGCTAGGACATGGAACATGAGGAACACTCTTTCATTGCTGGTAGGAATGCAATGGAAGACAGTATAGCAGCTTCTTACAAAATAAAACATACTCTTGCCACTTAATCTAGCAATTTGCCCAAATGATTTGAAAACTTATGTCCACACAAAAATGTGCACACAAATGCTCACGGCAGCCTTACATATAAATGCCAAAAGCTGGACGTAATTAATGTGTCCTTCAATAGGTACATGGATAAGCAAACTGTGTGCTACAGACTCAACTATACTTCCCATCCGAAATTCGTATGTTGAAGCCCTAAGCTCCAATATGACTATCCAGAAAAAGGGCTTGTATAAAGTAATTAAGGTTAACGGTGTCATAAGGGTAGAGACCTAATCTGATAGGACTGTTTCCTTAAAGAAGAGGAAGATTCTAGTTCAGTGCCATATGAGGACACAGGGAAATGGCAGTAAGTCATGTGCAGGCCAGGAAGAGAGCCTTCATCAAAACGAGAACATCTTCATCTTGAACTTCCAGCCTCACTAAAACTGTGAGAAATTAAATTTCTGTTGTTTAAACCACCCAGTCTGTGGTATTTTGTTATGGCAGCCTGAGCATACTAATACCCTGTGTAACATCTATACCATATAATACAATTTAGTGCTAAAAAGGTAATAAAGCTATCGAAGCCACAAAAAGATATGGAAGGACCCTAAATACATAGTGCTAAGTGAAAGAACCAGTTTGAGAAGGTTATATATGACTCCACTTACATGATATTCTGCAAAACTATGGAAACTGAAAAAATCAGTGGGTACAGGGTGAGAGGACATTCAGGAAGGGAGGAAGGCAGGATGAATAAGTGGAGCATAGAGGATTTTTAAGGTAATGAAACTATTCTGTATGATACTGTAATGAAGCATGCATGTCTTTACATATTTGCTAAAACTCATAGAATTTTACATTTGTCAAAACACTTACATTAGGATTTACATTAAGAATGAAGCTTAATGTGAACCATGAACTTTAGCTATTAATAAGGTAGCAATGCTAACTCATCAACTGTAAGAAAAGTCCCACATTAACGCAAGATGTTACCAACAGGGGGAATTGTGAGGGACAGCAAGGAAGTATTTGGAACTATATGTACTACCTGCTGAATTATTCTGTAAATCTAAAACTATACTTTTAAAAGTAAAGCTATTAAGTATTGAATTAAAAATAACTATGTGACATTCAAATTTCAGTTTATATAGTTTCATTGGAACATTGCCATTCTTATTCATTTATATGGTCTATGGCTGTTTTTACACTACAATAGAGTTGAGCAGCTGCAACAGAAATACATACATGATCACGATGCCTAGAATACTTACTACCTGAATCTTTTCAAAACTGTTTGCAGAGCCCTGATGTAAGATGTATTACTTAAAAATCACATCGACTAACGGGTTGTTCTGAGCTAACCACTTTATTTAAATTATTTAAAATTGTTAAGAGTCACCAGAAATACTAATTACATAATAAAGCTTCTAAAATTTAACTGGATAGCTTCTAATTTTTTTAAACATCAAATATATCAGCAAAATACTTGAACACCCTACACAGCAACTCCCAAAGAAAGAATCCATATTTTACTGAGAAACACTAGCACACCATAGTGTTACACTCTAGTACTTGAAAAGTGTACTAACTGAACACATAAGAATTAAAATGTTCAACCAAGAGAAGATTATCAACAGATTGAAAAGAGAAATCTGGAGAACAGGTCCGGGGATACAGCTCAGAGGCACAAGTGCCTGCCTCGCAAGCACAAGGTCCTGAGTTCGATTCCTGGTACCAAAGGAAAAAAAAAAACAGAGAAATCTGGAAAATAATGTGAATGGAGCACATTCTGGGACGGGCAGGGCAAGATATCTGAGAGAGGAAAGTCAACCAACTACAAAAAACTGAATGTTCTGCTAAAAAACAGTCATGAAAATGCAGCCAGTAACTACAAGACCAAACATAATAATGCTACCAGGAAGTGTCCTAAGTTACAGTTTAAGAATATCAGAGTATTTTGAAAATATGAGTCAACTATCAGAGAAAACAAACCGTAACTATCTGACATACTGAAGTAGTGTTAATAACAGGCTTCTTAGGAAGAATCAAATCTATAAAAATCATTTTAGGAAAGCACTGTAGAGTAATGACTAGAGGCAAAGGCTGTGGAAATAAAATCTGTTCTTCTGCCACTCACTAGTTTAAGACTCAGAACAAATTCTCAGCTCAGCCTCCTCACTGGTAAAATAACAACACCATGAACTATTATTTAGATTAGATAAAATGACAGATGTAAGGAGCTTAGCAAAATACCTGACTAAAATAGAGTGCTAAATAAATGGTAACTGTCAGTATTACTAACATACTTGGCACGAAAAAATGTACTGGGAATAGATAGCCTAAAGTTTTTCCACCAACTCTCAGAAAATCTAAAGACAGAAATCAATCTCTCACAGAATATAATTTTAGAGAATATCTGCTATTGGAAAATTAAATAAGAACGTCAGTTCAATAAATGGAGTTGAGACTCCATTAATGCAATGAAAACTGTTGGGGTAAGGAAAAAAGTAAGTATCAGTTTGCGGTTCTAAATTCCAAAAGTGGTGAATGGTATACGCTAACAACAGGACCCATTCAGGGAGCTACACATTCCCAAATTCATACTGGTACCTAAAAATGGATCACTAATACTTCTTCAATCAACAAAGGAATAAAAACTTCCTATAAACACTTACATGACAAAGCCTCGTTCCATTCTATCCTTCCTGACCACCAAAACCAAATAAAATATCCATAACAAGACAATTCAGAGCTGTATCCGGAGAGCAATCAGGACCATATCAGTTTATAAATGTTAGATCAAAGTAATCAGGGACGCGAGGTCACGTTCTTGGAGCTTGTTTCTCCGCCAAAATGAACACAGGCCTTAAACCAACACTGAAAGCTACGAGATGAGGATTTTTTGTACACACCGACCTTCCCTCACACACACATACCCCACACAACACACATACACACACACACACACACACACACACACACACAAACGCTGCGATGACTGCTCAAATCCTACAGTCTGAGAAAATAGCTTGTGGTCTTTTCGGCAGTCACAGTCATCTTGCCCTACGCTTTCTTTCGCCCCACAAAAAGATGACCCGGTACGATACTTCTCCAGAGGAAAAACAGGAAAAACGACAGCAATTCCAATTAAGACAACATTTGACTCTCTCTGTGGCCGGGACAGAGGTCGAACTGTTTCACTAGTCGCTTCCAGGACCGTGGACTTGGGGGAACAAGTGGCCTCGCTCCCGAGGTCAGGTTGCTCACACCTGTCACCACCGGGGCAGAAGCAAGCAGGAAAAATCCCGTAGACGCGGACCCGAGCCGCCCAGGTACGTTCGCACTCACCCCAGTCTTCATCTGGTCTGTGACAAAGTCCGGGGCTAAAAGGTGACTCCATGGTCCTGGTAACGCCAGCCGGCTCCGCGAAACACAAGTCCGAGTACCCCGGAATTCGGTAAGTAACACAGTATCTGGGACGGCAGCCGCAGGCGGACAAAATACTCCTAACGCTGACGCGACGGTGGCCGAACGAAGACAAACTGTTTCTATCGCAAGTAAAATGTGTGAAAACCAGCAGAGAGAACGTCAGCAACTAAGCTAAACAGGTCTCTGACTATGTATCTCTAGAGTTTCACCACTTTCTGACTCGCGGTTTTCAGATGGGGTGGGAGGGAAGACAGGCAGACACCGACTCGGTTAAACAGAATTTATCGATAATGTTAAAAATGAAAAGTGAAACAATTTTCTAAACATCCTGATCTGTTCCCTGATCTCAGACCAAAATTAAAGAGTAACAGTAAACTTGATTTAATGTTTAGGAATAATTTCCTAGCGGTGTAAAAGTTCTCCGTATACACAGTGAAAGAATATTATTTTTCCACATTCATTAGCATTGCCTCTTAATTGGCATGCACAGTATCTGAGGTAGGCGATTTATAAATTACACTTCTAGAAAGTCTACCTTTATGTAAGTCAATTTAGACAAAGCAAATTTGTTAGATAAACTCCCAGCGCCAATACTTCTCTCCCGATGATAGATGTCTAAAGCTACTAGTAAAAGTGGGGGCGAGCCTACCCTAAAGTCAGCAATAATAAAGTTCTCAATTTTTTTGTTACTGAAATTTAAAGTTGTGGATTTATTTAAAAGAAATTCACACACATTACAAACTCTAACTGAAAATATAGATTGAGTTTGATAAAAATAAATAGTTTCGAGAATGCTACTTCAAAGAATGATTTTTCATTCTTGTTCTGTCCGCAGCCAGGGACTATTTAAAGTACTCTGCCTTAAGAACACGTATCCCTCTAGGACCGAGAGAAATCTTTCCCATGGTTACAAACAAAACAAAAATGCTTCCCAGAATCCTCCAGTCTCCTCGTTCCTGGATATTACTACCGATTGCACGAGACAAAACAGTCACGCGACCGACGCGGAGAAAAAAAATTCATGAAATCCCCTTAACATTAAATGTGGATTACAAAAAAGTTTTCACTAATGGGGACATTTGTAACTTTAATTCTGACCCAGCTACAAATTCAAAAATTTACATACAGCTAAAACCAGCCAGTCTTCTATCTTCACCAGACACTTTTGTCTTCTAAGAAAACCATGACTGAAATTTGTTTTATAAAGTTTTTTTATTCAGAAATATCAGATAGGGCTGGGGAGATAGCTCAGCGGCAGAGCGCCTGCCCGGCAAGCGCAAGGTCCTGAGTTTGATTCCCCGTGCCAAAAAAAAAAAAAAAAAAAAAAAAAAAAAAAAAAAAACAACAACAACAACAAAAAACAAAACCCACACACACAAAAAAATAATAGTATGGGCTTAACAAATATTAACTTTTTCATTTTTGTTTTTTTTTTTTTTTTGGTTTTTCTCCGGTACCGGGAACCGAACTCACGACCTTGCGCATGCCAGGCAGGCGCTTTTGCCGCTGAGCTAAATCCCCAGCCCCAACTTTTTCATTTTTGTATCAGTTTCTTACTTAAAAAATTAAAACATTACAGGTAAAATTTAACTCTTTTCCCTCTACTTCATTTGCCTCCCTCCATATGGGCAGCTTCCATCATGAATTTTATAGGCCATTTTTATGCTTTTACCATGTTTAAAATATTTGCAGATACGTATACTTAGTGTCACTACAGGTTTTTAATTTTTACACAGTTGTATTATACTCTAATGTTCCCCCCATTTGCTGTCTTATTCGCCATTATTTTTTGAGGGCCTACCCCATATTTTAACTGTCACATGATATTTTCCTGAATATGTACATCAAAATTTCATTTTCCTAATAATGGACACTTGGGGTCTTTCAGTTGTTTATTAGTACATAAAGTATGTCCTTATATAGATCTCTTGTGCACCTAAAAGAATGTCTTTAATATGTATATTGGGTCACTTGCCAAATTATACTGACTTATTCCCTGGTAGCAGTGATGAGTTCTCTATTCACATTGTCACCAATAGTAGTATGGTCAGACTTCTTTGTTATTGTGAAGGGTGTGGTTATAATTTACATTTCCCTGACAATTTAAAAACTGTGCCTTCTCTCGTTTATGAAACTTTATTGCTTTTTCTGTAAACTGCCCACTCATTTACAGCTTACCATTTTCTTTCTCTCAGTGTAGATCTCTTGATAGCCTACCCTATATGTTGTTTTTGTGGGGTTCTTGTCTTCTAGGGTTTAATGTAGTCAAATTTATCAACTTTTGTTTATGATGTCTGCTATTTTTATCTTAGCGAAGAAATCCTTCCCTTTCCTGCAATCATTAAGGTTTTCATTTTTCTTTTCAGAATTCTATAGTTGTTTTTACATTTTTTCCTGTTTCGTTATTTGAGTATAGTAACACTACTGATTTTTGTATAGCAATCTTGTATCAAAAAAACTTGCTAAATTCTGGTATTCTAATATTGTCTGTAAATCTTATAGAATTTTCTATTTAGAAAAACATTAACATTTAAAATTTTATTTTAACTATTTTTATCTTTAAAAACAGTAACATTTTAATATGGAAATATTTAAACAGAAGAGACAAAATAGTGAATCCCCTTGTTTCTACCACAAGGCTCCAACTTGCTATTCCTGTTTTATCTAGTCTACCACTTTTTTCATTCTTTTGCTTTCTTATTTCAGACAGACTTTACCCATAAGAGCTCCAAAATATATATCTAAACAAAGCGTTTCCTTATATTTTAAAACATAATACCCAAAAAATTAATAATTCCTTAATATCATCTAATACTGTTCCATGTTTAATTTTTGGTCTCAAAAATGGAATCTACCATTGGTTGTTAATATCAGGATCCAAACAAGACCATCACATTGCATTTAGTTCATACAACAGTTCCTTTTCTTTCTTGCTTCCATGCCATTTGATACAGAATCCAAGTCATCTGTCCTATGAAATTTCCCACTTTGTGATTCTGCTCATTTCAGCTTCAATGCTTAATTTGTTCCATTTAAAGGCTTGATTGGATAGCTTTTGCTTTTGTTTGCTTGTTTTGCAAGAATATGCCACAGTACCTTTTTACATCATAATTATCAGGAAGTATATGTTGTCCCTCATTTTAGAGACATCAAAATTTATCAATGAGTTTAGATCCCCCCAACCTTGTTTTATTGCAATGTCTAGGACCTCTGGTACAATACTAAATGAAGGTATGCACAATCTTTTAACTTGTTCCTAACTTTAATGTGGCAGTTTTAAAAGTCTTACCATTAAATATTTTTTTCTGGAGATTTCTCATATATATTCTAATTAAGTATCCATTCTGGATACCAAGCATTTAAAAAAAAAAAAAAACTTTAACATCTGAGTAACACTGAGTTCTTTTTCTTGAATCTATTCCTCATTCATTTTCAACTTAAACCCTTGAAATGGAAATAAAATTGGAAAAGAACTTCTGTCTAGAGACAATACTCTTTGATATAAGCAAGAGGAACCCCTGCCCTGGACCCACACTTCAGGAAACTTTATTCTGATCTGGCTCTCTTCCCTCAGGGTAAGAATCCTTGCACCAAGGCAAGTCCAACTAGAAGGTGCCCCTGCCCCTATCTACACAAGCTTCTAACACCCAAAAGGCCCAAACAACTCCAAGCCTAATGGTAGGGCCTGCTCAGGTCTGACTTCCTAAGGGTACACCGAGCCAGCAGTATATACCAGAGGTGTCGGCAGAGCATACACACGTGAGATGGGGAGTCCATATATGTACCAGTTCTTCATGATGCAGAACAGATCAAAGCATGAGGAGAGAAAAGTGGCAGCCTATGGGTTAGAGGCCAACTCTCCCTGCAGTGCCACTGCCATATTTTATCACAGAATCCCAAATTCAAAGCTGGCATTCCAGGTTATTATGAAGGTGTGTTTGTCAAGACAAGAGAATAAAACCATTTATTTAACAGACAGTTTGATTTATAACTTTAAAATGTAAGACAGATAGTATGTGGGCCTCAGTTTATACTCTAGTGGATACCAAACAAATGGTGGCTGAGAGCCTGACTAGTAAATCTGGAACTTAGTTAAAACTTTATTTCATCAATACTATTAGATTTTATAATCTGATCAGCATCTGCAGTGCGACATCTGTTAAGACACACAGCACCCTGAACAGTAAACCCACACATTACAATACAGATAGGTTAAGAGACATTTTTAAGTCAGTCAAGTCTTGATTTCACTTTAGGTTCAACCATTTGCTAGCGAAGCAGTCAGAGGAAGTGACTCGATTCACTTGTAAAATTAAAGTCAGAGCTGGCTGATGACACATGCTTATTCTGGAAGGCTAAGGCAAGATGACTGCGAGTTTCAGCCCAGCCTGGGCAATTTTGTGACTCAGTGGCTAGTGATGTAGCTGAGTGTTAAGACCATGGGTTCAATCCTTAGTATGGCACACAAAAGCAAATTGGGGGAGGGGTGTGAAAGAAAACAGGCCTACCTCATAGGATGGCTCTGAGGTTTAAACTAGGTAACACATTAAATGCTAAGCTTAGTGACTAGCACATAGTATGTAAGCAATAAACTGCAGCTATTTCAAGGGAAAAACTACTAGCTAGGCACTATACTAAGTTCTTTACCTGTATTATATCACAAAAATCCTAATTTTAAACCAAATAGGTACTACTATTTCCATTTTCTGTAAGAACAAAATAAGGAAAATATGATCTTTAAACCAAGCTTGTCAGAAAAGCAGAGAATTTACTAATCCCATGTTGTGAAGGAGAAAACTGATGTGGGATTTTCAAAGACCTGCTCACTTTCTGGAAGACTGTAATATGACCAGCAGAGCCACTGTTGGAGCACATCGACTTCTACTCCACCAGTCTCCACGGCACCACCCTGCCCCTGACACAAGTCTCACACTGGTCTTTCAACAAATCTAAGAAGCCAGATATCCCAAACTGTTATTGTTACATGAAATGTAAAGAACAGGTGTAGTAGATTTTTCTACCTAAACTCCCAAAGTAAAAAGCATTAAAGGATTTAAATTTGAAAGTTCTGTTCAGGGGATAGTGTGCAAAATTTACATAAAGAAAAGCAAATTTCCCAAAATCATTCCTCACTGGGAAACAGTATTTTAAAGAAATTTATTATGGCTATCTCAGCTAGAATATATGTTGCAATAAGCCAGGGGGGTTATCTTTTTCACTGTATCACCTACAACCGTGCACATGATACACAATATTTAATGAACTGATAACTAACTCTAAGTTCAAGCAGTATCGATGTCATTCTCTGCAGTATATGCTACAGTGCAGGAGGGACAGGCATTATGCTGAGCCACATCAAACTGCAGCTACTCAACTCCTTTTCACCTACAAAAAGGGCACCCTCAGATGGGTCAATCTGTCTTTTAAAAAACTAGAGAATGGCATTTAAAAAAAGTTAACAGATTCTGTGAATGCTAAGATAGAAATGGAAGAACTTTTTCTCAAAAGAAAAAGAAATTATGATATGAAATAACTTGTCAAAGGCTTCTACCCCTATTTTGAGATTTTTCTCAAGAATCATCAATAGCTCCCATAAGATCAAAAACTAAGCTAGGTTTTTTTGCTCTGTAATACTGGGGATTGAACCCAGTCCCTCTGCATGGGGCTACATCTCCATCCCAGGCTGGGCTTGAACTTGTCACCTGTCTACCTCAGCTTCCCAGAGTGCCGAAACTAAGGTATCCTCCACCATGCATCCATGAGGCATTTCCACTAACCTTTTTTATTTACTTATTTTTTTGGAGACAGGGTCTTGCTATGCACTTCAGAGGCTGGGCTTGAACTCGTTAGTGATCCTCCTGCCTCAGCCTTCCACGTGCTGGGATTACAGGCCTACGCCACCATGACTGGCCTCAATCATTTTTAAAGAAAGGTCACTATGCACATAATTTTTTTGGCTTTTTAAAATTTATATGCTGTTTATTAACACAGATGTGTGTAAATAAGCAATATGTCTTTAGGATACACAGACAATCTTCCTCTTTATTAGCTAATTCTGATTTCATGCAAATGCTCAAATATCTAATTAGGTCAAAATTTTTTTTTTTTTTTTTTTTTTTTTCCTGGTACCAGGAATCGAACTCACAACCTTGTGCTTGCCAGGCAGGCACTGTGCTGCTGAACTAAATCCCCAGCCCTTTTTTTGGTTTTTTAAGGCACGGTCCTGCTATATTGTTCAGGCTGGTTTTGAACTCTCTAGGTAATCTAAGCTGGCTTTGAACCTGTGATCCTCCTCCCTCAGCCTCCTAAATGCTGAATTATAGGCATGTGTCACTGTGCCTGGATAATCAGGTCCAATTCTAACACTTTCAGGGTTGGATGTTTGGTTGGTTCTTTTTTTTTTCATTTCAGGTCACTGAACCCAGGGCCTTCAAACTGAGCTATATCCCCACCTCTTTATTTTTTACTTTGAGAAAAGGTCTTGCGAAGTCACTAAGTTGCCCACAGTAGATTCAAATGTGTAATCTTGCTTCAGTCACCCAGAGGGCTGGGATTACGAGCATATGCTACCATGTCTGGCTCCAATTCTAACACTTCAGTAAAATAAATTCTAATTCTAGAGATCAAATTAAAAACTAATCCAGGCATATTATATTTTTCAATACTCAAATATATTGTGCTAAAAAAAGTAATTGATAGCAACTCAACATTTGTTTTCTTCATCACTAGAAATATACTAACAGTAATACATTTCTTCACAGATGACTATAAGAGGTATCTCTCTAGGTGTGGTACTACACACCTATAATTGTCACACTCTGGGAAGCTAAGGCAGAAGGATCACAAATTCAAGCCCAACCTGGGCAATTTAGTGACCTAGCAAAACTGTCTCAAAAATAAAAAGGGCTGGGGTATAACTCAGAGTAAAAACCCTGGGTTTAATCCCTAGTCCCCCTGCCAAAAAAAATCTCTCAAATACATTTTCCTAAAAATGTAGATATCTGGATTTCTGAACAATAACCAGAAAAACATATTTTAAACTTGTGTTTTACCAATGGCTTTTCTCCTTCATGTTTCCAAGAAAAGTCCAGACACAAGTAGGTTTAATAATGTCCCTTAAAAGAGAAAAAAAAGAAACAATATGTCGAAGTGAATCTGCATTACATTTCTGGAAATCAAAGAACACCCATTAAATGTAACAGCTTCAAATTTTTGTATACAATTTTGTCCATCCAGATCTTAACACGCCAAAAATATATGAAATAAAAAAAATATGAAACAAAGTATCTGCTTCATAAAGGATTTTAATATTAAGTCAAATAAAATTTACATGATTAAAAAAGCTTTGTCATGTATTCTACTTATATCATGTAATACAAATATAATAAAGCATAATTTCCACATTGCATCTAGTGATTTGTTTTGTTTTGTTTTGTTTTTTGGGGGGTTTTTTTGGTACTGGAAATCGAACTCACAGCCTCATGCTTGTTGGGCAGGCACTGTGCTGCTGAGCTACATCCCCAGCCCAACATCGAGTAATTTTTATCTTCTCACATTCCAAATGAAATGTTGGCCTAAACACTAGCTATTTTGCCATGAATGGTGATCAGCAAGAGTACCATAAATCACCAACAGGTTTCTTTCCAAGTTACCCAGTGTCACAAGTTCATCATTTTCTTGTTTGTGATCCCAAAGCTGGTAGCATTTTCATTTCATCCACTCTATTCTTATGTATTTGAAAAGCTGGTGTTATCCATCTACCACAGGAGCACTGTTCACCATACCAATTGAAGGAACCCAACTTAGCACTGCATTTTGGGCAAAGAAGCTGAAATAAAGCAAATGCATTACTTCTTTCATTCACTTTAATACAAAACAAATAACTACCTTTAACAGTATGGGATATAGCAATAGAAAGACATGGGACATGGCTCACATCTTCAAGGAACTTTAATAAAGTGATAAGAAATGCACTAGAAATCTACTGTAATCAACGAGGGACTACAGTTAATACACAAGAGGCATTTTGTACTAAGAGAAACATGAATTCCAAGTTAAAGGGAAAAAAGCTAAAGTTTACAACTCAATTAAGGAAACGTCTAAGAATGGGACATATGTATAGAGCTTTTAATCAGGTTGCAATTTAAGATTTCAAATAAAAACATCAAGGCAAAAAGATAGAAAGCACACTAGGATTTTATGACCTATTACTAACTGATACTGACAGCATACAAATATGATTCTTGACTATTTAAAAACAAATAAACGGATATCCCCGTAAAATAGGTAAATCTAAAAATGCTTAATAAATCTATGCCATTTTGCCTAGTGTGGTTGCAGCATTATTCTTTTAGGACTTTAATTTGTGTATGGTACAAGATAGTGATTTTTTTTGTTTTTTTTTGGTCTTTTTGAGACAGGGTCCCACTATGCAGTTCAGGCTGACCTTGAGCTCACTTTGTAGCCCAGGATGGTCTCAAACTTGCAATGATCCTCCTGCCTCAGCCTCCTGAGTGCTGGGATTACAGGCGTGTGCCACCACACCCAGCTAGTGATTTTTATTTTTAATCTTGAGCTACAGAAAGTGTGGGCATAAAACTCAGAAATGATATATGAAGAAATTAACAAATTTGATTACATAAATATCTTAAAATTACATCAACGAAATATTATACAAAATTGAGATAAGCAATAGGTTAGAGAAAATATTTGTAGTATATTGATGAAATATCTAGAATATGTAAAAAACCCCTACCAATAAATAAGAGAAAGATAAAACTTACAGAAAAATGGGCCAAGAATTCGAAAACAAGTTACAGATAGAGTATACATGACTAGTAAAGATACTGTTCCTCAGCAGTAATCATGAAAATTCAAAGTAAACCTTTTAGGATTAACATTTTTCATCTCACAGACAAAACTGTACCAGTTTTATAATCTCTTTTTTTTTTTTTTTTTTTAATTTTTTGGTCTTTTTCTGGTACCAGGAATCGAACTCATGACTTTGTGCTTGCCAGGCAGGCGCTGTGCCGCTGAGTTAAATCCCTGGCCCCAATTTTATAATCTCAATGGGTGCATGCATTCACTTAGTGAAAACCAAGTTTATATGGGCAGTTTGAATGTCAACCTGAAATATTACTAATATTTACACTGGGCCTCGTCTTCAAGCCAGGAATTCTGCTTCTAAATATATACATTATATAAATTCCACAGAAAAATTCATGTATACAAAGAAATGTGTACAACATTGTATATTAAATTGTGATTTGAAATCTTTTACAAAAATATCTTTCCTGTATATGTGTGTTTTCCAAATTAAAAAGGCAGCATACCAGAAGCATAAAAGAGAAAAAGACAAATTGTACTTCATCAAAATCACAAACTAACTGTTTCAAATATTACCATCAAAGAAGGGGAAGTAGCCAGGCATCTTCAAGGAACGTGCCACGTGCCCCTAATCCCAGCACTCTGGGGGGCTGAGCCAGCAAGGTTTCAAATTTAAGACCAGGCTGGGCAACTTAGTAAGTCCCTGCCTCAAAATAAATGAAAAGGGATGGGGATATAGCTCAGTTTGAAAGCTCTGGGTTAAATCTCCAATACCAGGAAGAAAAGAAGTGTGACTGACCCTGAGTTCATTATCTTGAGATTATCTTGGGCAATGAGAATGGTGATGGTTGCAAAAACTATAAATATACTAAAAACCACAGGATCATGTATATCCAATGAGTGAATTATATGGTATCTGAATTACACTTTGTTTTTTCATAACTTTATTTTTTGTTGTTGTTTTTGGTGGTGGTGTTTTATTTTGTTTTGTTTGAGACAGGGTATCACTATCTGGTTCAGACTGGCCTTGAACTCATTATGTAGCCCAG